ATATTCCTGGCCCCTTGGTTATAAATTAGTTAACTACATATATATGAGTTTATCTCTGGGCTCTCAATTCTGTTCCATCAAACTATTTTTTATGCCATTACCATACCTTTTTTTAAATTATTATGATAGCTCTGCAATATAGTTGTAAATTCTTTTTGAGATTTTTCTCAAAAATCTTTTCCATCTGTATGGAACTCAGTTATCCACAAGATTTTTTTTCAGGCTTACAAATGACACTATGACCTACTTAAAATATTCTATATCACAGATCTTAACACCAATACTGTTCATGAGTCAGTTTTGCCAAGGGACTATTGAGATTTCCTGTGAAGTGAAAAAATATTCTTGCAGACATTCAGGAATTCTTTAGAATGTTGTAGTTAAACTAGAGAGTAATATTAAGGATTCCACCAACTAAAAATAAATATTCAAATGGCATTTTTACTGATTATTAAAATAAATATAAATGAGCACCATATCCATAACTTTATGTGATCTACCATTGTATTTTGCCTGTTGGGACCTTCCTACATCTATTGGTCAGATATCCTAATAGCAATAAATGTAGAATCATTTGTCATAAAAAAAAACCACAGGTACCTTAAATAGAGTTTCAAAAATGTATAGTAATCTTTGATATTCAACCAAATATTCCTTGAGTTTCATTTCTGGTAATGGAAAAAGTTTAAATGATTTTACAAGTTTAATTTTAATTCATAGAAGGTACCATAGTACCTCTCACTCTAGTCACAAATTCTGTACCTCTCAGATTTCTCCTTCTCTAAGATTCTGACTCAGCACATTTTTCTGGTTCCAGAATCATTGGGATTTTTTAGTGTCCAAGGCTTCCATACATTGTGAACTCCTCCTGTACTATTAGAGACCATCCAGTCATTTAACTCATACCACACTGTTCTTCCTCCTAATTTTCATGGCCAGTCTTCATGCACCACATTTTCCCCACCAATCCAGTCACAGATATTGTGAAGAGACCAGGTTCTGACATCTGGTTCTGAATTCTAGTTATGATTTTGCCAATAATTGCTGTGAGTTCTTATTTATGACTATAGCACTGTTTCTTCATTGTAAAGTAAGAGTTGCACAAAATTGTGCAAAAATCATCTGTCTTTAGCTCTAAATGTCCTACTTTTTAATCAGGTCCAGGGTAGAATGAAAGTAACATAAACAGAAGAAATGTACATTTTACCAATTTTCCACTCCATGTTTTTACTTTTTACCTCTTTCAAGGGCAATTTTAATGTAGTCCTAGCTGTGAATTAAGATACTCTTACAACTGGGCCTCCCCGGTGGCGCAGAGGTTGAGCGCTGGGTTGCGAAGCTCCCTGCGGCCTCTGCGGTGCCGGTTCGATCCCCGGCTGCTTCCCGCCCACCGGAGGAGGGTCCCACATGGCGCGCAGACCTCTCCTGCCGCCCGCTGCTCCCCTCAGCAGTGGACTTCGGTCCTTCTGCCTGTTCTGCTCCCCGCTCTGGCTCTGGTGAATTCTCTCACCCTCCCGCGCTTCTGACTGTACCCAGTGCATGTATAAACAAACAAACAAACAAACAAATAAATAAATAAAATACGTGCCTCTTTAAAAAAAAATTGTTTTTTTAAAAAAAAAGATACTCTTACAACCTTCTACCAACTTTTATCTGACTATATGTACTGATAAATGACAAAATAGTTGCAAAGGAGATTAGTGTAGCCTGCTGAAGAATTGCTCCATTATATTGGTTAAATATGTTAATGCGAAAGAGTGCCCTGCATGAAGAACTATAGAATTTGTTGGTGAATCTAAATTAACATTAAATTTAAAAATACATATCCCATGAACTTGGAGAATCACTTATTGAAGTGTTGTGATATCCTTGTCCAGGTAAACTAGCCAACTCACTCCCAAATTGTACCATAACATTACTACCTCTTTGATCATTGAAATGCCTTTTCCTCCCTTTTCTCTGCTTGTTTTATATTCTGCTACATATTCCAGACCTCGATGAGTTCTAATTTTCTTTGGTAGGAAGATATTTCTAGCTGCCCTAAATGCTTAACCCCTCTCTCCTTTGAATTGCTAGAGTGTGATTATTCTCCATTTGTTTTGTGCTGACCTGATACTGCCATTTGTTTTTGTTTTTTTTTTTTTTTAATCTCTTGAAGGATATATCCTATTTTTCTCACTAAGTTTTAAACATATTCTAAAGGACTCTTAGCCCTCTATCTGTCCTCAGCATCTGGCTCAATGCCCAGCACACAATCATTACCCAGTAAAAGCGATTGGTGGTAACACATAATTCCTTAAGAACCCCTTGAATATTATTGACTGCATGTGACTTGAGAGATCTATTGTCTGACTCTTATTCGGCAAGAACATAATATTTTCATCCATTAGAAAACTACCTTTGCCACCTTGAACACTGATGGATGGCTAGAAGCTGAGTCAATTGAACATTTGCTGTGGACATGAAAAGTGTTTAGTAACTATCAAAATGGTTGTCTTTATCCTTTCTGCCTGCCATAACAAAATACCATAGACTGGGTAGCTTAAACAACTGAAATAAAATTCTCACGTTTTGGGAGGCTAGAAGTCCAAGATCCAAGTGATGGCATAGTTGACTCAGAGGTCTCTTCCCAGTTGTGGACTACCAAACTTTTGCTGTGTTCTCCCATAGTAGAAGGGACTAGCGATCATGATAGTCTGTATTACAAAGCACTAATCATATATGAGGAGCCCACCTTCATGACCTAATCACCTCCCAAAGACCTATCTCCTTTAGCTGGTGGTTAGAATTTCAACATGAATTTGGGAATGACACAAACATTTAGGTCATAGTAAGTGGTCAATACTGGTTAGTTTGTTGATACTATAGAATTACATATACTTGTTTAATATTTGTAACAACCCTTTGAAATAGATTAAAAATATTTCCCATTTCATAGAAATAATATTTTTTCTCATTTTATAATGAGAAAACTAAGCAGAAAGGTTAAGTAACTTCTGTAAGATTGCACAGCTGTAGTGAGGGAGCTAGCAAACAAGGGAGAGAGCTGGGATTTGAATCTAGGCAGCCTGACTGTAAAGTAGTCAGTGTCTAATATGGCATGAAATTGGTTCATTCCTTATGTCTTATAATGAATGGGTAGGTAGATACAAACCAGTAAAATTTATTTTAATTAAGAAATTTGAGTATTAGTGCTTTTTCCTCAAATGGAAATAAAGATCACACAAGAGTTTCATAAGCCCTGTGAGAAAATGCATTGCACCAGCTCAAGGTCAGCCTATGATATACTCAGTTACTTTCCCATCTTTAAGTTATTTTCCATTACTGTGAAAGCAGAAACAGGAGCCCTGGCTGGGGTGAAGAGGGCCTTTCATCTTCCCAGGCAGGGGGACCACTTGGGAAGGCAGGCTGATGAGAGCTGCGGGGGAGCTGAGCCATTTTAAAAACACATGAAAGAGCTTAAGAGAATTTTTATGAGGATGGCAAAGTCGAGGGTGTATACTTATGCACGCATTCAGGAAACGTGGGTTAAAACTGATCAGTGATTAAAATTCCTGAGACCTTTAAAATGCAAATGTCTTGAAAAATGTCATATTTTTGAAAAGTAAGCATTCACATTTATGGGAGATACAACATGGTTTTCTATTCTAGAGAATATTTGAAGTTGCATGAAATTCATGAGCGCTCCAGTACAAGTTATTAGTTAAAAATATTGCCTGCTGGGACTTGGGGGAAAAAAAAAACTATTGATTTCTCATCACTATCTTTTTATCCTTAAGTAAGTAGTAGGACAATTAAACTTTTCCTTTTTTACATTTTGTGAGGATAATGGCAAAAATGCTTCCTTGTAAATTGGGAAGACAATATCATAGACTCCTGTTTTTCAAAGCAGTAAATTCCAGCTCACCCCCCGCCACCTTTTTTTTCAGCTTGAAGTCAGCCACACATATTTTCAATGACACCGATTTTTTTCATTGTTCCTTCTGAACTTATTGCTGCAGTTTTCTCTCACTAATGCATGTTACCAGCCAGGTTCTTCAACACGAATAGTGACTACTTGGGCTCTCTCACTGAGACCCTCTAATTACAAGGCTAAGTTTGAAGATTTCAACTTATTTTGGCACACATTGTGGTGTCTCAAGATTTAATTCTCTCCGCAGGCTATCTAATTAATAAAACTCTAATTTTGTCAGGATACATTCAGCAGGGGGTTAAATAACTAGTTCTCAAAGAACCCTATTTTGCTATTGTCAAAAAGTATTCTTTGAATCTACTAAAAATATCTTAGGATACAGTAAAGGGAAAGCACAGCTCCCTCTCCTCATGGAGATACGGTGAATTCATTGTGCATTTGGCTCTGTAAGTATATGTCAAGAAGTGGGAGGAAAAAGAAGCAGAATTTGGGGCATCAAAAACTACAGGGTTCGGGTGACTAAAAAAGTGCCTTTCCCATTCATTGGCTTTGAGAGAAGAAAGAGTTCAAAATTTCCAGACTCATCCTTTATCTCCTTTACATCTACATGTGCTATCTGAACAATGAATTACACTGCAAAATGAATTCAGTTGGTGTTGCATTCTTCTTCCAAGAAATAAGTTAGGGAGTTTTCCTTGGATTTTGCTTTAATGAAATTCCACCAACAGCAGGCAAGTATAGGAAACCCAATATCAGTAATAAGAAATAGAGATTACATATGACGGTCAAGAAAGATACCATTATTTTGAAAATATCGACACAATAAAGATTCCCAAACCTCAATGACCCACTTACAGAATGATACACTCTGCAAATGCACTGAAATAAACAACCTTTGTGTCTGCAGTGAAATTTGGCTCATGAATTTTAAAAAATGTATCATAGGAAAATAGTTCATTAATTAATTCATGAATATTTATTAGCATTCTTTTATGTGCCAGATAGTGAAATCTGGCTCATATATTTTACTTTATTAAAATTATTTACTATTTCATTATATGACTATTGAGTATCTTCTATTTAATAGGCAGTGTTCTAGGTGCTGAGTAACAGCAGAGAATGAGATGGACAAAAATCTGTCCCTTCATAAGAGTCTGCTTTACAGAGACAATTAACAAGGTAAGTAACAAAATTCACATTACAGAGAGATAAGTGCTGAGGGGGAAATTAATAGAGAAGGGAGAATGTGAAGTATCCTGGGGATTGTAACTTTGTAGAGAATGGCCAGACAATGTCTACTTGGGTTGGCATTTGCATAAAAATTAGAAAGACAAGAGAGTGATATTAAGGGGATGAATGTTCCAGAGAGGCAATGCAAAGGGTCCCTTCAGAATTGGGACAAATTGAACAGAGTTGAGACACAACAAGGAAACCAATGTGACTGGAGCAGAAGGAGCAAAGAGGGGGAGAGGATGAGTCAGAAAGGGGACTAATCATGGAGGGTTTTATATATTGTTACAAGGGCTTTATCTTTTATTCAAAGTTAGGAAAGGTTTTTTGAGTAATGGAAATTGGAGACAGAGGGAGGACAAGTTTTGACAAGATTGCTCTGGCAGCTATTCGGAAAACAAAGTGAAGATGGAAAAAGAAGGGGGGGATCCAGATTAGAGGTCATTGCAGTAATACAGGTGACAGATGCATGGAATACAGACTAGCAGATAGGGTGGGGAATATAGTTGGATTTTGAATGTATTTTGAGGTTACAGAAGAGCAGATCTATTGAGGACTAGAGGTGATGTAAGAGAAAGAGTTAATAATGGCCATTGTAACTAGAAGGATGGGGTTGCTATTTACTGAGATAGTAAGGAATGTGAGAGGAACAAGTTTTGGGGGAAATGTCAATAGTACAGTTTTGGATATGCTAAATATGAGAGGTTACCATAAGACATCTGAGTGAGATATCAACTCTCGAGTTCAGAGGAGAGGGCTAATATAATCTGGGAGAGATCACTAAGATCTCTCTTGGGCCTATGGATATCTATCTGCCTATCTGTCTACCTAACTACCTACTTGCCTATCTATCAAGTGTTCAGTATATATGTCCACAAGTTTGGACAAGGTCTCCAAGGGACTAGTATAGATGGACAAGGGAAGTCCGAGCACTAAGTCCTAGGATACATCAACACTTGGACTTCAGGGAAATGAAGAGACACCAGTTAATGAGACTAAAAAGCAGTGGCTGAAAGGGTAGAAGAAGAACCAGGCAAGTGTGGTAGCTGGGTCCTCTGTGTGGAAACCAAGATAGAATCAAACGTACAAAATATTCTATTAGGGAAGATGTCTATGAAAGAAAGTGGGTGGGGTGGGGAAACACAGAAGTCTGGGATAACTGATGTGCAATGAAATTCTGACCAAAAGTGAAGAAGAGAGGAGGGAAAGGTTGAATGGATATAGTTTTGAAAGAGTTCAGCAAGACTGTTGGGAAATTCTCAAGCCAAAGTCAACCATCCAAGGAGTGCTATTGTTTTAGGAATGTGCTTATCTTAATATCCCTGCCACATGAAGTCAAAGAATAGCTTGATGTTGTGCCATATGCAGACATGACAACGGATTTCAGAAAGAGCAATTGGGACCCTTGGTTAATTAAACTTCCTCTACTTGGAGATGATGTTTCCATGCCTGCCAAATATGGTGACCCAGTTACTTATTGATATTTAATAAGCCAACCTAGTACTTTTGCCTTAAACAAATCATATGTTAACACTATATGAATTGATTGGGATCAGCTGGGTAGTTCTTGTTTGATGTTTCTCATCTAGTTGCAGTCAAATTTGGCGGGATCTGGAAATATTAAAGGCTTGATTGGACTGAATGACCAATCAGAGCAGCAGGAAACAGGATCTGTCAGCCCTCTTAAGGCTAGATTAGCAACTAAAGTGTTGTTTCCACCATATTCTCTTAGTGAAAACAGTGATAAAGCAGCACAGAATCAAGAGGATAGAGGAATAGATGTCGTTTCTCAATGAATGAGTGATATACACTTACGGAAAGGGAAAGAACTGTTTAGAGCTATTACAAGACAATAAGTCAAGTAAAGAGGAGAGAGTAATCAACTGTGTTAAATATTAAGAGGTCATTAAAAATGAGGATAAGATGTGCTTAGCAATGCAAACTTGTTTAAAAAATATTTCCTGTAATAATACTGCAAACATTTGACTGAAGTGACTTGGAAGGAGGTATGGAAGGAGACAAACTGGCATTCTATCATATAGATAATTTTTTCTAGTTTTGTTGTAAAGGTAATGGGAAAAATGTACTAACAGAAGCAAGAAGAGTAATCAAAAGAGAGTTAATTGAAACTCAAAAAATAGTATCACGTATATGTTCATGGTAATGATCCAGTAAGGAGGGGAAATTTGATAACAGATAAAAAGGAAACATTACTACATAATTTCTGTAGGCAGGCAAGGAGGATGGACTAATGATTTTAAGTAGAGCATTTGGCCTTAGGTGCAAGAATAACTAATAAGCACAGATACAGGTAGATGGGAGATGTATTTGAAGACATAGGGAATTTCTCTTCTGATTGCATCTATCTTTTTAGTGTAATAGGAAGCAAGTTGATCCACTGTAAATAGAGATGGAAAAAATCTTGAATTTTTGAAATAAGGAGAAAGACAGATGAGTTGCCCAGAAAAGTAGCAGAAGGAATTGATTAGAGGATAGACTGATTGCTGTGCAACCTTCAGAGCCCTCTGAGGTTCATGAGTTTAAAGGGTGACCAGTCAGCATAGTTCTGCATCTTACTGATACATGTTCAGCAGAAAAGCACAGGCAAAGCCTAGAGAGAGAGAGAGAGATTTAATCAGGGTTAGGGTTTAGCCGTGAGAAAAAGAGAAAACTAAAGACGGGAATTGCAAGTACATGCAAGGGGGTATTATAATTATCAATGATGGAATTTGAAGTGTTAACTTTGATCACTAAAGTGGGGATGTCTCAAAATGTTATGCTTTTGTGTTGGTGGCTTTTAAAACTTTGCTAGTGTTTGCTTTTTCTCTTTTCTCTTTCAGTAAGTTAAAATTCCCGACATTTCAAATGCGCTTGTCCAGAAAGCAGTGACTTACATAGCCCTAAAGTATCCATGGAGAGACTGAGCAGATAGTCACTGTAAGATATTTAAAAGAATTCATATTTTAGAAAAATGTTAGAATAGAATATTTTTTAAAAAGATTTTTTTTTTAATTTATGAATAGAAGAACTGGGATGTAGGCTAGAGGTGTGGAGGGTGAAAGGATTCACTAGGACAGAGTGGGGAGCAGAACAGGCAGACTGACTGAAATACACTGCTGAGGGGAGCAGCGGGTGAGTCAGGAGTGGTCTGCTGTGCCATATGTGGGTTAGCTCCCTGTTCTCGCTTGAAATCGGGCCATTATGGTGATTGTGCTGAGTCTTAACCCCTATGCCACTAGGTAGGCCCAGGAATAGAACATTTTTAAGGGTTTCCTGGGGTTTGACTCTGAGTCAAGTCTATAATTCTCTTTAGGATTAATGGCACACATTTATGTACAGTTCTCTATAGAATGTGCTACAATACTTAACAAAGATATTTTTGGTATACTCTCTGACCCCAGGAAGGCTACAATTCAGTATCTTTTACAAGTAAGTCTACAATTTATTTGTAGGTGCACTAAAACTTATGTATTTAATAGTTGACAAAGATTTATACTTGTTTATTAGTTCTGCTCATATGCAACTACTGTGGTGGGCTAATTTCATTTTCCTTGACCTTATTACAGCATCAGTAAACTTCATGGTTGAAAAGTTTTGCTTCTCAGAAACCTAGATCAGAAGGGGAAATAACAAGCTGGTTTTACTAAAGTAACATACCTAAAAATGGTGAACTAAAAGGAGATGTTCACGTAGCGCCATTTGCAAATGTAGCAAAACATGGGGAACTTTGATGACTCTACAAAGAAAAGAAAATCTCTCTTTTACTGCCCTGTAAACATAATCATAGCCTCCTTTGTGTGGAAGAAAATGTTAACAGTATATAGGCCATTTCTATATTCAGTCCCTGCATTAAACTGGGACGCAGCTGATGCACTCATTTCAGACAGTACCAATTGCTGCAGATGGACTTTTCATTTACCAGTTGGTATATTCATTACCTTGGCAGAAATGATTAGTTTCATTGTGGCTTATTCTGGTCGTTTTATGTATAGAGTCCTCATGTTACTATAGATACTTTGGGCCTTCAGTCAGAAAACATCATTAATATAAAATTGTATTACTCTTGACATTTGCATCATCAGAAGACCCCAGTTCAGGATTAAACAGTATGTGCTGGCAGAGCTGAGAGGCTGTGGATAGGGAATTTTCCAGTGCATTGAGGTTCTATGACACGTGCTATAATAATACCTACTTATGTTAGAATTAGCCTCTTTCCATACACAAGAAGGACCACAAATGACCTAAAGTTATTCTCAGGTTGCTGGAGTGCTTTAAGACGAGCCAGTCTAAAAGCATGAAAAATGCACATTAGGGGAATGTATAGACAATATAAATGAATTCTTTACAATATACAAATGTGTCATTTAATATTCTTTAAGTATGTAACATGTAGCTGCATTTAAAAATTGCCTAATTTACCAAATATTTTTTGTATGTATTGGGTATTGGGTTGTATGAGAACATTGAATAATGGACATTGATAATCATACTTATTACTATGTTAAATTCCAATTTAAAAAAAAACCTGCAAAGCTCATCCTATTAAAAATGGAAAGCAAACAAATAAGATACCATGTTTCAGAGGAGCAGACAAAGCCAGATGCATAGTTCAACACAGAGGTGGGTAGATGGTGGGCCCAAGAGTGGAGGGGGTGGGTGGGCAAACTGGTGGGCTACTGTATCTATGTTGTGGGGAAAGTTTATAGACAGAGTCCAAAGAATGGTAAGTCACTTTGGCAACCAGAGAAGCAACAGAAAATATGGCTGGAGGACTTCAATCTGAAGGCAGAGGCTGTTTGCTTTGAGCTTTCTTTGTGTGGGCAAATCACCTGCTATTGTGTGGTGGTCCTATCCCACAGGGTTACAAAAAGCCAGAAAAAATCAGCAGCTTTAGTGAATACTACCCATGATTAGCAATGTTCCTCTTTTTTGTAATTGACCCAATAGTCATTCAGTCATTTGTTGTTTAGCCTCCACATATTTGGGTTTTTTTCCTACTTTGTTTTTATGGTTGATTTCTAGTTTGCTACTATTGTGATCAGATAAGATATTTGATAAGATTCAATCTTCATTAATTTTTTGATATTTGTTTTGTAATCCTGGAGAATTGCCTGTGTGCACTTGAGCAGAATGTGTTTTCAACTTTTTGGGGATACAGTAGCCTTATAAATGTCTCTTAATCCCCTGTCATGTAATTCTTTGTTTAAGGCATTGTTTCTTTGTTTATTTTCTGTTTGATTGATCTGTCCATTGGTGAAATTGGGGGAATCCTGTCACTGTTGTCACTATTGTGTTGTTGCCAGTATTTGTTTCCAGATTTGATATTTATTGCTTTATATGTTTTAATGCTTCTTTGTTTGCTGAATATGTGCTGGTGAGTGTTTTCTTCCTCTGCATTGTTCCCTTAATCGTTATGTCTTGTCCATCTCTGACTCTTTTTACTATTTACCTGGAAATCCACTTTATCTGGTATAAGTTTGGCTGTCCATGCCTTTCTTTTGGTCCTGTTTTCTTGGAAGATTGTTCTCCAACCCCCTACTCTGACCCTGTGTTTATCTTGGGTGTGTTTCTTTGAAATAGAAAATTGGGTTTTGTTTTCTGATCCAGCCAACCGCTCTGTGCCTTTTGATTGGTGAGTTCAGTCCATTTACATTTAAGGTGGTTATTGACATATATGGGCTTGCTGCTGCAATTTTGTTCTTAGTTCTTAGTTTTGTTAGTTCTTAGTTTCTTGTTCTTAGTTTTGTTCTGGTTCAACTTATTTTCTTGTTCAGTTTTTTTGTGGCTGTTCACTTCAACTTAGATATGAGAGCTCCCTTCAACATTACTTATAGGGGGAGATTTAGTGTTGTAAACTCCTTCAGCTTCAGTTTGTCTGGAAAGGTCTTTATTTCTTCCTCATATCTGAAGGAGAGAATTTCAGGTTAAAGTGCTCTTGGCTGGCAGTTTTTAAGTATTTTGAATACATCACCCCATGCATCATATTTCTCTTTCTTCTCCACCTAGATTCTTTATGTATTACACTCTTCAAGGTTACTTCCATTTGGTCTATTCTATATTCATCACTTTCTCCAAAATTGTTCCTCTCCTCTATGGCCTTTTTACATCCTACTATTTCCTTGTTTAAGACTTTAATTTCTATCTTCTGTTCATTAATTTTATTTCTCAGGACATTCACTTGTTTTTGTTGTTTTTTAGTTCTCATGTATATCTCCGATCAACTTTTCTGTGTTTTCTTCCATTTCCTTTTTTTTTTTTAACATCTCAAAAGGAGAGGTTTATGAGGAAAAGGAGAAAGGAGAGCAGAGAGCTGTTGCTGCTTTTGAAAGGAAAAGAAATGCCTGCATAGACACAGGCAGGCAGTGTTGGGACAAGCGCTAACTTTCTTCCATTTCTTTGAATTTCTTTATTGTGGCAATTTTGAGTTCCGTATATGATAGGAAGAAAATATCTCCCATATCTTTGTGGTTGGATTCTGGAGATTTAGTCTGTCTCTGTGGTGAAATATTCCCTTGACTCAAGGTGCCATGTGTCTCATTTTTCTGCTTTCCATCCTATAGTTTTCTAGGTTACTACTTATTCAAGTGGCCTAAGAGTACAAATCTACTTTTACAACAGAGGGCACTGTATATTGGGGGATGTGATCTGCAGCTGCTGATTCAGGGCATAGGGGACAGGCTTGGAATTATGTGGGGGCAGTCCTTGTTTATGGCACCCCTGATCACTATCCTTTCTGGGTTTCCAGACCCATGTCTCTGTAATCTGTAGGTGGGCTTTAATCTCTCCTTCATAGGATTAGCCACAGTTCTGTATGGTTAGGGGAAAGGTATCCCTGCTGCACACACTGCCTTCTTCACTTTGGGGATACTGCCTGCCCATCTTACACCAGCACCTCCGCATGTATCTTCCTACAGTCAAAGGTGTATCTCCACACGCAACAGCTCTACTCTTCCCAGAGTCACCAGCCAGACACATGAGCATAGGTTTGTGCTGCAAGGTTCTGCACTGACCTGCAGGGTCTAGGCACCTTTCTCCATCCAGTTTTGTATTGCATAGAATTGAATTTCTTCAGTGTTGCTTCTGTCACCATCAGCAAAGGTGTTCAATATTCAGTGGGCACTTTAGTTTATCCCTAAGTCATAGCTTCCTTCAATTCCAGTGCCCGTCTGGGTCACTTTAGATTTTTCTCCTGGGAGCAAAGCAGGTGACATCCCCTGCCATCTTCTTTAACCTCATTTTTGCAAGCTTTCACAAAACTATCCCTTCACCAGTAACCTTGGTTCTTGGCTTGTACATATCTTTCTTCACTGTATTACCCACACATTCAGAATGCCACATATTTACTGAGACTCCAGAATATACTCTTTCATGCAGATGGCACTGTTCCTCTATAAATTAAAAGTATGGTTCTCTCTGTCTGTGGCCATCTCCATTAGAAAACTAAAACAAAATGAACAAGTGAAAAGTATAATGGATGGGATCTTCTCCACTGTGGAAATATTTGATCAAAACTTTCTCCAGCAAGTCAAAATCTCCATTTTTTTCAATCTACTTACACTCTTTCTTCCTCAGTTATCTTCTCCATTCCTATGACTTCAGATAGAACTCCTATACCTATGACTTCCAATTATAAAACTAATTCAATGGTTCTTAAAATGTGATCCCATAGCCAGGAACCCCAACATCACCTGAGTATTTATTGGTAATTCAAATCCCTGCCCTTCTTTCCACCCACCAAAACGTCCAGTCACATATATAAAATCAGACTCTAATGTCTAATAACCTATGGTCTAACAAGCTCCATAAGTGATTCTAAACCTATTAGATAGCTGGGTATCTAATAGATATGTCCAAAATAAAAACCATGAACTTCCTTCATTTTTGGTATTCTTTATTTTAGTAAACAGTATCATCACTCATCTTTTTTCA